GTCTCCCTCCCACCGCCTCCCCCCACCTCTCCCTCCCCCGTCTCCCTCCTCCCTCCCCCCGTCTCCCCCCTCGTCCCCTCCCTCCCACCGTCTCCCTCCCATCGCTCCCTCCCTCCCACCGTCTCCCTCCCATCGTCTCCCCCCTCCCCCCCCCCACCGTCTCCCCCACCGTCTCCCTCCCATCGTCTCCCTCCCTCCCACCGTCTCCCTCCCACCGTCCCTCCCACCGTCTCCCTCCCCCACCGTCCCCCCACCGCTCCCTCCCTCCCACGTCCCCCCCCACCGTCCCCTCCCACCCGTCTCCCCCCATCGTCTCCCTCCCTCCCATCGTCTCCCTCCCACCGTCTCCCTCCCACCGTCTCCCTCCCACCGTCTCCCTCCCACCGTCTCCCTCCCACCGTCTCCCTCCCACCGTCTCCCTCCCACCGTCTCCCTCCCACCCTCTCCCTCCCTCCGTCTCCCTCCCTCCCACCGTCTCCCTCCCACCGTCTCCCTCCCACCGTCTCCCTCCCACCGTCTCCCTCCCACCGTCTCCCTCCCACCACTCCCTCCCACCGTCTCCCTCCCATCTTCCCCCCTCCCACCGTCTCCCTCCCACCGTCTCCCTCCCACCGTCTCCCTCCCACCGTCTCCCTCCCACCGTCTCCCTCCCACCGTCTCCCTCCCACCGTCTCTCCCTCCCCCCACCGTCTCCCTCCCACCGTCTCCCTCCCACCGTCTCCCTCCCACCGTCTCCCTCCCTCCCATCGTCTCCCTCCCACCGTCTCCCTCCCCCCCGTCCCTCCCATCGTCTCCCTCCCTCCCATCGTCTCCCTCCCACCGTCTCCCTCCCACCCTCTCCCTCCCACCGTCTCCCTCCCACCGTCTCCCCCCTCCCACCGTCTCCCTCCCACCGTCTCCCTCCCACCGTCTCCCTCCCATCGTCTCCCTCCCTCCCACCGTCTCCCTCCCACCGTCTCCCTCCCACCGTCTCCCTCCCACCGTCTCCCTCCCACCGTCTCCCTCCCATCTTCTCCCTCCCTCCCACCGTCTCCCTCCCACCGTCTCCCTCCCGTCTCCCTCCTATCGCTCCCTCCCATCGTCCCCTCCCTCCCACCGTCTCCCTCCCACCGTCTCCCTCCCACCGTCTCCCTCCCATCGTCTCCCTCCCATCGTCTCCCTCCCATCGTCTCCCTCCCATCGTCTCCCTCCCATCGTCTCCCTCCTCGTCTCCCTCCCACCGTCTCCCTCCCTCGTCTCCCTCCCACCGTCTCCCTCCCACCGTCTCCCTCCCATCGTCTCCCTCCCATCGTCTCCCTCCCACCGTCTCCCTCCCATCGTCTCCCCCTCGTCTCCCTCCCACCGTCTCCCTCCCCCGTCTCCCTCCCACCGTCTCCCTCCCACCGTCTCCCTCCCACCGTCTCCCTCCCACCGTCTCCCTCCCATCGTCTCCCTCCCACCGTCTCCCTCCCACCGTCTCCCTCCCTCCCATCGTCTCCCTCCCATCGTCTCCCTCCCATCGTCTCCCTCCCATCGTCTCCCTCCCACCGTCTCCCTCCCACCGTCTCCCTCCCACCGTCTCCCTCCCTCCGTCTCCCTCCCACCGTCTCCTCCCACCGTCTCCCTCCCACCGTCTCCCTCCCATCGTCTCCCTCCCTCCCACCGTCTCCCTCCCATCGTCTCCCTCCCTCCCACCGTCTCCCTCCCATCGTCTCCCTCCCTCCCACCGTCTCCCTCCCCATCGTCCCCCTCCCTCCCTCCCCCGTCTCCCTCCCACCGTCTCCCTCCCACCGTCTCCCTCCCATCGTCCCTCCCTCCCACCGTCTCCCTCCCACCGTCTCCCCCCACCGTCTCCCTCCCACCGTCTCCCTCCCTCCCCCGTCTCCCTCCCACCCATCGTCTCCCTCCCTCCCATCGTCTCCCTCCCACCGTCTCCCTCCCACCCACCGTCTCCCTCCCATCGTCTCCCTCCCTCCCATCGTCTCCCTCCCACCGTCTCCCTCCCACCGTCTCCCCCCACCGTCCTCCCTCCCCCACCGTCTCCCTCCCACCGTCTCCCTCCCACCGTCTCCCTCCCACCGTCTCCCTCCCTCCCACCGTCTCCCTCCCACCGTCTCCCTCCCACCGTCTCCCTCCCACCGTCTCCCTCCCACCATCTCCCTCCCCGTCTCCCTCCCATCTTCTCCCTCCCTCCCCCGTCTCCCTCCCACCGTCTCCCTCCCACCGTCTCCCTCCCACCGTCTCCCTCCCACCGTCTCCCTCCCACCGTCTCCCTCCCTCCCACCGTCTCCCTCCCACCGTCTCCCTCCCACCGTCTCCCTCCCACCGTCTCCCTCCCACCGTCCCCCCCTCCCATCGTCTCCCTCCCACCGTCTCCCTCCCCCACCGTCTCCCTCCCTCCCATCGTCTCCCTCCCACCGTCTCCCTCCCACCGTCCCCTCCCACCGTCTCCCTCCCACCGTCTCCCTCCCACCGTCTCCCTCCCCCGTCTCCCTCCCACCGTCTCCCTCCCTCCCCCGTCTCCCTCCCACCGCTCCCTCCCACCGTCTCCCTCCCCCCGTCTCCCTCCCACCGTCTCCCTCCCATCTTCTCCCTCCCTCCCACCGTCTCCCTCCCACCGTCTCCCTCCCACCGTCTCCCTCCCATCGTCTCCCTCCCATCGTCTCCCTCCCTCCCCCGTCTCCCTCCCACCGTCTCCCTCCCACCGTCTCCCTCCCATCGTCTCCCTCCCATCGTCTCCCCCCATCGTCTCCCTCCCATCGTCTCCCTCCCATCGTCCCTCCCTCCGTCTCCCTCCCATCGTCTCCCTCCCACCGTCTCCCTCCCACCGTCTCCCTCCCATCGTCTCCCTCCCATCGTCTCCCTCCCACCGTCTCCCTCCCATCGTCTCCCTCCCATCGTCTCCCTCCCATCGTCTCCCTCCCACCGTCTCCCTCCCACCGTCTCCCTCCCACCGTCTCCCTCCCACCGTCTCCCTCCCATCGTCTCCCTCACCGCTCCCTCCCACCGCTCCCTCCCATCGTCTCCCTCCCAACCGTCTCCCTCCCACCGTACTCCCTCCCTCCCATCGTCTCCCTCCCATCGTCTCCCTCCCATCGTCTCCCTCCCATCGTCGTCCCTCCCACCGTCTCCTCACACCGTCTCCCTCCACCCGTCCTCCCTCCCTCCGTCTCCCTCCCCCCGTCTCCCGCCCACCGTCTCCCTCCCATCGTCTCCCTCCCATCGTCTCCCTCCCACCGTCTCCCTCCCACCGTCTCCCTCCCATCGTCTCCCTCCCACCGTCTCCCACCCTCCGTCTCCCACCCTCCGTCTCCCTCCCATCGTCTCCCTCCCATCGCCGCTCCCACCCGTCTCCCACCCTCCGTCTCCCACCCTCCGTCTCCCTCCCATCGTCTCCCTCCCACCGTCTCCCTCCCACCGTCTCCCTCCCACCGTCTCCCTCCCACCGTCTCCCTCCCACCGTCTCCCTCCCATCGTCTCCCTCCCTCCGTCTCCCTCCCTCCGTCTCCCTCCCTCCGTCTCCCACCCTCCGTCTCCCTCCCTCCGTCTCCCTCCCATCGTCTCCCTCCCTCCGTCTCCCTCCCTCCGTCTCCCACCCTCCGTCCTCCCTCCCTCCGTCTCCCACCCTCCGTCTCCCCTCCCTCCGTCTCCCTCCCTCCGTCTCCCACCCTCCGTCTCCCTCCCATCGTCTCCCTTCCATCGTCTCCCTCCCTCCGTCTCCCTCCCTCCGTCTCCCTCCCTCCGTCTCCCTCCCTCCGTCTCCCTCCCTCCGTCTCCCTCCCTCCGTCTCCCTCCCACCGTCTCCCTCCCATCGTCTCCCTCCCAAGCTCTTAGAACCAATTTGCTCAATTCCAGAAACGTGCAAACTCTCCATCTTTTTTTCTTTACAGCTTGCGATTGTGCCCAGTAACTGGGTTTGAAAAGAACAATTGGGATAAACATTGGGCAACAAGACAAACTTGGCGTCTGTTTTATGCCCTCAAAGCTTCACAGAATGTAGAACATCTGACGACGATAGCTTTCAAAAGCATGGCCTTCTTCACTCACCAGGTTCATTACCATCATTACCATCATCTCTTTCCCACATCAGGACCAGGTGGTTGGTCAGTGTCCTTGACCAGAACTCTGACCTAGTAACCCATGGTGCCGGGGCTATTTTGGGTGGGGAGGGTGGCACAGTGGTAACACTGGTGGCCTCGCAGCAACAAGGGTCTGGGTTCGATTCCCGACTCTTGCGGCCGTATGCGTGCATCTTTGTACTCATCGGATTCATCATTCCCCCCCACCCCCCACGTTCCGCACGAGTTTCATCCAGGTACTCCGCTTTACTTCCCATAGCCAAACAACCGTACAACCGCACTGGCGTTGGACAAACATCCCAATGCTAAACACGAGCACACCTGGGACTACAAAGCCACGTCGCCTCCAGGCCGCAACAAAACCTTGGCGGGACTCTCCTCAAAACGAGACCCGGCGAGACTTCACCGGTTAAACGAGCGTAACAACAACGACGACAACAACAACAATGATAAACATCGTTTCGTGTTTGCGCAAACTCGACGGAAAATAGACACTCACCTGCTTTTCCTGGTCGGGGGGCAGCTCGAACACACACCTCAGTTTGGAGTCCATCAAGTCATCGGGTTTAGCATCTTTCCACTGAGGTGGCGGGCGGTAAAGACAAGACACACACACACGGACACACACACACAGACACACACACAGAGACAGGCACACAAACAGACACAAACAGAGACACAGACAAGACTCTTTAGTTCCCTTCAGTTCCTCAAGAAACTGCCCGTGGCACGTGGCACGAAAAACGATCCGGGAGCACGGCGCGGCCGCGGAAACTCGCGACGCGACGCCGTGAGGGCATCGCCGATGTAGCAACGTCCTTCAGAGACGGCGTCAAATCAAAACTGGTGGAGCCTTGGGCGGGGTTGATAAAGACGAAAACCGGTGACCGGTTCCGAACGTCCGGTCAACAGTGTTCCAGTGGACCGTCAGTAACCGTTGCACCGATGGGCACACGCGGACGATTGAAGCACGCGAACGACAAACCGCGCACAGCTGCTACCAAAGCTCCTGAAACGTGCCCGCTTTTGTCACAACGTGGAAGCTAAGCAGGTAGAAGCCTGGCTCGTGCTTCTACCAAGGTGCTGTATGTACAATATATATATATATATCGGCTTTTGGGCAGCGGGCAGGGCAGTGCGGAAAATCGTACTTCTGTGCGCCCACATCTCCACAGCAACCCATAAAGATCAGCATAGTCAAGCAGGGTATATACAGGACGTATCATCAACAACAACATGCCACCACAAGGGTCCCTATGGTTTGCCAATTGTGCCCCACCCCCACCCACCCTGGTTGTGAGACTCCCTACTGATGCCCCCCTCCCCCCACGGTTGTGGAACTTCCTACTGATGCCCCCCCTCCCCCCACAGGTTGCAGAACTCCCTATGGTGCCCCCCCCCCCCCCCACGGTTGTGGAAACTTCCTACTGAGCCCCCTCCCCCCCCCCCACGGTTTGTGGAACTTCCTACTGATGCCCCCCCTCCCCCCACGGTTGCAGAACCTCCCTACTGGTGCCCCCCCCCCCCCCCGGTTGTGGAACTTTCCGGTACTGATGCCCCCCACCCCCCCACCGGTTGTGGAACTTCCTACTGATGCCCCCCCTCCCCCCCACGGTTGCAGAACTCCCTACTGGTGCCCCCCCCCCCCCCCCCCCCACGGTTGTGGAACTTCCTACTGATGCCCCCTCCCCCCCCCCACGGTTGTGGAACTTCCTACTGATGCCCCCCCTCCCCCCACGGTTGTGGAACTCCCTACTGATGCCCCCCCTCCCCCCACGGTTGTGGAACTTCCTACGGATGCCCCCCCTCCCCCCACGGTTGTGGAACTTCCTACTGATGCCCCCCCTCCCCCCACGGTTGTGGAACTTCCTACTGAAGCCCCCCCTCCCCCCACGGTTGTGGAACTTCCTACTGATGCCCCCCCTCCCCCCACGGTTGTGGAACTTCCTACTGAAGCCCCCCCTCCCCCCACGGTTGTGGAACTTCCTACTGAAGCCCCCCCTCCCCCCACGGTTGTGGAACTTCCTACTGATGCCCCCTCCCCCCACGGTTGTGGAACTTCCTACTGATGCCCCCCCCCCCCCCCACGGTTGTGGAACTTCCTACTGATGCCCCCTCCCCCCACGGTTGTGGAACTTCCTACTGATGCCCCCTCCCCCCACGGTTGTGGAACTTCCTACTGATGCCCCCCCTCCCCCCACAGTTGCAGAAATCCCTACTGGTGCCCCCCCCCCCCCCCCACGGTTGTGGAACTTCCTACTGATGCCCCCCCTCCCCCCACGGTTGTGGAACTTCCTACTGATGCCCCCTCCCCCCACGGTTGTGGAACTTCCTACTGAAGCCCCCCCTCCCCCCCCCACGGTTGTGGAACTTCCTACTGAAGCCCCCCCTCCCCCCACGGTTGTGGAACTTCCTACTAATTAAGGGTTTCCTAATTAGCTGTGCCCCTCTTTGACTGTTCTTCGCCACCCGGGTCTTTCTTTATCTTGCTTATTTTCACGCATGATGGGGCCAGACACTTTTTTCGTGGAAAAGCTCCTTATAAGTGCAAATGATTACACACACACACACGGGTTGTCAAGTTTTTTGAGACAGCCACTTAATTGGCGTCGAGGCGACGAAACGTATTTAGGGTACAATGCTCACTATTGTGCGGCGACAAAGCGGACGTTGTTCCCTCCCCCTCCACCACCACCCTCCCCGCGAAAAGTGAACTGCTGATGAGTTTTACAGCAGGCGGAACCGACAGCGCCGCGGCTCACCACGGCCTCCATGTCCGACGTGTCTTGGGGCGCAAACATCGTCTGCACCATGAATTTGTGTTTGCTCTTCTCGTTGGGGTCGTAGTCGAAGGGCTGCAGCATAACTGCGGGGGAGCGGCGGAGGTGGGGGAGAAACGGCGGTCAGAGACGTAGACGGGCATCAGAGACGCGCGCGCAGTCGTTACATCACATCCACAAAGATCCCCCTCCTCCCTCCCCCCCCCAGGGGGTAGCCCCAACAGACTATGGGAGGGCGAGTGCTGTTATCGAGCACGTAAACACACACCGCACATACGCACACAGGAAAGGGACGGTGACGCACGCGCCGAGTGATAAGACGCACGCACCGTCATCAGATGCACACGCAGTCGTAACACGCGCAGTCGTCAGACACACATGCACATACAAAGATGCCCCCCGTATGACCTAAACACTGTTGAGGCAAGTGCTGTTAGGAAGCAGCTGCGAAGGCCAGCACCACGGCCAGCCACCTTCGAAACTCCAGCATAGACCGCACAACGTATAACGACACAATGCCCCGATCCACACATACGAAGGAGACATTACAGCAGACGCGGTTATCTGGCTTGACCACCTAAGTGTGAAATGGTAGTTGATGGATGAAACCCCAGAGTTTCAGCGGCTTCCAACACGTGGCCCGCGAGACCACGGCCAGGCAGTCCGCGGAACTGTTGCAGGCACGATTGATTTGCACAAAAACGCCACGTTTCATGACTGCATGGCGATCTGCAAAAATGTCTGAAGGTTGAGGGATCGTCCCCCGCCCCCCGCTGGTTTGGCAAGGTTGCGAACCACCCAATCTAGACTACGAGATCGTTGCAATGCAAGAAGAGGCGACGGCTTGGTGGAAGCCATCATGCAGAAGTGGATTAGACGATTGATGATGGCCATCATTTTAGCATGTTCAACTTTTTTCATACCGTACATAGCCAACTGCGCTAATTGGACGTGCGGGGGAAGGACAATGAACCGAGCACAAAAGGCATTTCTAAAGAAATGAGTTCGTCAATCTAAATTATTAAAAAGTGCAGAGCGCCAGTGGCTTCCTAATATCGGAAGGAAGAGCGTTCCAGACGGCCGAGGAGCGCGTCTGAAAGCGCCGCGCGAGGCGGTGACCACCCTCTTTGTCCGGTGGCTCGCCAAAAGCCGCTGGGGGAATGACCAGAATTTGCACGACGGTTTATGCTCCTGGACGAGATAAGCAAGGTAGTGGGGTTCAAAATCATGATGATGATGAAATCATGATGATGATGAGAGCTTGGGGAAAAGAGACAACGGGAGAGAATTCTGCAGTTGAAAAGTTCGAGTGAAGAAACAGAAACAGGAGAAGCGTTGTGCCTTGTATTATCGGTGGCAGAGGGAGGCAACGGAGAAACGAATCCAGTCATACTCTTGGCAGGCTACCGATGCCATCTCCTTGGGAGTGGTCAAGCTCCCATCACAGTGAAGCTCCATCCACGGCAATCGTACGAGAAGCTCAACACCTACCATCTGTATTCTTTGGTTCTTTTGGTAAAGTCACGTAGATAGAAAAATAATCATAAAAAAAAAATGACAAATATATTTTTTATTTACGTGACTTATCGAAAGAACCAAAGAATATGATTTCCAGCAGTCACGAAAGTTAAGTAAAAACGAATCCTCTGCACGGTTCTTTAGCAACGGGGTGAGAGCAAGCCGGGAGAGTGAATGGCCGATGTTTTACACCCCCCCCCCCCCCCCCCCCCCCATCAGCGGAGGAGGTGACACTGACACGTTAATTGAAACTCCAGCCCTTATTCCACTACCGGATGAAAGTGGCTCCAAGTCGTCGCCATCTCTCAACAGCTCTCCGATACAATAATCCACCTGGCACCTGTCTGCATACGAACAATAAAGCTGATCTTGTTGATCCAATCTTAATTTTAGAACTTTCGTGACTGCAGTAAATGATTATTTGGTTCTTTCGGTTAAGTCACGTCTAAAGATAAAATAATAAATTAAATTAAATAATAGCATACGACGTTTCGATTGCAACACAAGCAATCATCATCAGGTATAATGAAATAGCGACATAAAATCTAACCAGAAAACTATAGACAGACATATTAGCAGACAGATATCACCAAGATACATAGAGGGAGCAACACAGGAACCAGAGAGGGGTGATCATCTCTGTGGGGGTGGCCTTAAATAGACAGAGGGGGGAGGAGGCAGAGAGAGGGAGGGGGTTGGAGAAAACATTTGCATATCAATGAGTGGTCCAAAAACAAGGTTCTGCAAGTGCGATGACACGGCAAGCAAGTCTGAAAATCAGAAGGACAAACTAAAATTCAATAACCTAGCAAAATATCGAAATGTAATGTAATACAACACAGAGGGTCGGTCAACATACAATTAACGCATAGCCTGGTTGATTACGTATTTCAAAGATTGCTAAGTTAGAATTTAAGTGTGAACATTCCAAAGAGAAGACACAGGCAGAGAGAAGAGAGAGAGTTTTGAGCTTATCCTTTTTTCTCTCTCTCTTCTCTCTGCCTGTGTCTTCTCTTTGGAATGTTCACACTTAAATTCTAACTTAGCAATCTTTGAAATACGTAATCAACCAGGCTATGCGTTAATTGTGTGTTGACCGACCCTCTGTGTTGTATTACATTACATTTCGATATTTTGCTAGGTTATTGAATTTTAGTTTGTCCTTCTGATTTTCAGACTTGCTTGCCGTGTCATCGCACTTGCAGAACCTTGTTTTTGGACCACTCATTGATATGCAAATGTTTTCTCCAACCCCCTCCCTCTCTCTGCCTCCTCCCCCCTCTGTCTATTTAAGGCCACCCCATAGAGATGATCACCCCTCTCTGGTTCCTGTGTTGCTCCCTCTATGTATCTTGGTGATATCTGTCTGCTAATATGTCTGTCTATAGTTTTCTGGTTAGATTTCATGTCGCTATTTCATTATACCTGATGATGATTGCTTGTGTTGCAATCGAAAAATTGTTGATCCAAGTCAATGCAATGTTCTGACCCGCCCCCGACTGGACATCTGTGAAAAAAAACTTTATAGCTTGTCGGATTCCTCCGGTGTAAACATTCTGATTCTTACTCTTTGGTTTTTTCGGTAAAGTCACGTAGGTAAAACAATCAATAAAATAAAATAAATGAAAACAACTTAATTAAATCACGACGTTAATTTAGTTGTTTTCATTTATTTTATTTATTGTTTTACCTACGTGACTTTACCGAAAAAACCATAGAGTATGAATCCTTGCAGTTATGAAAGCTTCAAATCTAGAATATTCTGATTCTCATTTTGAAATGCTGTCGCTGGAAGCCCCCCAAAATCATGTCACTTATTTGCCCGAACGTTAAACAGTCCTCTTCTTGGTTCTTTCGGTAAAGTCACGTAGAAGGAAAATAATAAAATAATAAAAATAAAACATTATAAAATAATTCTCACGACGTTTCGGCCACAACGCAAGCAGCCGTCTTCAGGTGGAGAACAGGTCTGTCAAGTAGACAGAGTCAAGATTGAGCCCATGTCAAGTAGACAGAGTCTGACAGACCTGTTCTCCACCTGAAGACGGCTGCTTGCGTTGTGGCCGAAACGTCGTGAGAATTATTTGATTATGTTTTATTTTTATTATTTTATTATTTTCCTTCTACGTGACTTTACCGAAAGAACCAAGAAGATGAATCCCTGCAGTCACGAAAGCTTTAAATCGAAATTTAAACAGTCCTCTTTAACGGGAGCTGGGGAGGCGAAACAGAGAGTCAATGTAGCAGCAGCGTCCACAGAGTGGAAGTTGGGTGAGCAGAGGACTGAGATGGTTCGGTCATGTGGCCAAAAAGCCGGAAGACTACATTGGAAAGTTCAGAACGATGAAAGCCGAGCAAAAGAAAGAGGGAAAATGAAGGGTGAATGGCAAGGAGTTGTATTGTTTAACGATTTTTTATTTTACCAGGAAAGGCCCACTGAGCTAGACAAAAGTGCCCCAACACGTGAAAATGTACAGCAGCCAAATGCTAAACAGGCATCAGTCAGGATTGAGCCCATGATCTCCTGCATACCAGGCGAGGGAGTTAACATCTCGCCACTGCGACGCCAACGAGGGCATGAAAGCATGCGGCGTCACTGCGGGGGGCGGCGACGAATCGGAGACAGCGAGAGGACTTGGGATAGCAGAGCCCCACCTAGTGGGACATTTGACATGCGTGAAAAAGAGCTTAATAGCTCATCGGATTTCTCCAGTATAAATATTCATATTCTCGTGGAATGAACGCTCGCAAGAAATTCAGCTGCTCAGGCTACTGGCGGTTGTGTTGTCACAGCGCGGGGAAGATTCAGGCGCCCGTTTAGATCGTGTCTATGGCTGGTGCTGGCAATGCCGTGCCCGGTGACACAGCGCCGTACTTACCAGAGACGTTGATGGACGAGCCGGCCTCCAAGATGCCGCTGTTGGGCCGCACGCAGTACCGGCGCGGCGCCGTGGTCTTCACCTTGAACACGACCCGTTTTTCGGATGGATTTGTCAGCTTTAGGTTCGTGGTGACGACATCCGTGAATGGACCTGCGCGGGGCGGGACACCACGCACCGTTCGGGTTGCGGCAGGGAAGTAATCGTACCGATTCGTCCGTGCCGAGGGAACCTTATGCGATCCAACTTTAGCTCGACGGACCGTTCCACGTGACGGAACGTCGAATTGCGACTGAAACTTCCGCACGATGGAATGTTCCCCATGCGATGGAACGTTCAGTGCGGGGGCGTGCCGGGGAGCCTCCGGGGTGATGGAACGAATGTTCTGCGCGATTGACAACGGTATCCGCGCGACGGAACGGTCCGCGGGATCTAAACGCGGGCGAGTGAAATTTCTCTCCCTCTCCGTGTTATCAAACAATACGTGCAATCAAACGTTCCGTGCGACCGACTTCCACACGCCATCACCCTCTATGAATGCTGAGGTGGGGGGGGGGCAGGGGCTAAGCACAGCGGCGAGCCGGGAAGCATGCCGCCGACGTCACCGCTTGACTAAATTTACAGTGACAGAAACACGATCCCCGCTCACCTCCTATCCCGCCGCCTAAATTAGATTCTCCGCTAATTAGGTCTCCCATGGACATGGCCGTTGCGGGTGAGCGCAGAGTTTCCCCCTCCAACAGCACGCGTATCGGCAAGGACGATCCCGGCATCGGCCGTCATGGAGGGGGTGGGGAGGGGCTGGGTGGGGGAGGCGGGCACAGAGGATGGAATGGCTGGGCGTAGTTTTTCGATTCCAATTCTTGTCTGAAGTGGTGGAATGATTTAAGTTCATCTCTTGTCTGATTCTATGTGGTGCTTGCCCTAGTGGATATTATCTCGACTGCATTGTTTTGAACGTCATATTTACCCCTTTGTTCCTCTGCTTTGAGAGGCCCTGCCTGCGAGGCGTGGTATAAATAATAAATTATGATGGTCTGGTTCCGATACAATGGTAGTCCAGTTCATTTACGTTTGTATTGTTAATTCTGTTAAATTCTGCTCTTTGCCTGGCTCTGGTCTTTGGTTCTTATTCTGTTTTATATTTAACCCGTTCTACTTCTATTGCTGGTCTTTATCCAGCTCTAGTGTTGGTGTTTATCAAGTTCTGACTCATGCTGTATTTCCACATCCATTGTGAAGTGAGCTGGCCTGCTTCACATATCCAGCCAGGAGGGTATGGATTCTCACGGGAACCTTACTTTGTTTTTTTATATTGAAACCATTGCCAATCAGTTTCAAAGACAATGCATATATTATCAGAGCATGTTATATTTGTATGTTCACCACAAGTACCTGTGGTTAATGCAGACTTGATTCCTCGCAAAATAAATCTATTTGGTGTTTGAACATCTTAAGACCTGTTTTATTGCCAGAAAAGGGTAAAACTTATTCGAATTTGACCTTTTCTTAATCACTCCCCCACCCTCCCTCGTCACCTTACTTTACGTTTTAATCGCAGTTGCCGAGCACAAGCCCAAAACACCAACTGACCAGTAACAAATATCACCAAGTTGTGATAGGTAACGTGTCTTGAATTAAGCAAGGTTAGAAGAGAGCTCGGGTTCAGAGACGATCGGAGGGAATTCCAAAGTGAAGCGGTGCGAAGGAAGGAGAGGAAAGAGAAGTGGTGTGATGAGTGGATGGGTGAGTGTGCAAATGGGTGAGTGTGCAAATGGGTGAGTGTGCAAATGGGTGAGTGTGCAAATGGGTGAGTGTGCAAATGGGTGAGTGTGCAAATGGGTGAGTGTGCAAATGGGTGAGTGTGCAAATGGGTTAGTGTGCAAATGGGTGAGTGTGTTGTGACCTGCAGTGTGGTGAGTGAGTGGATGGGTGAGTGAGTGAGTTGTGACCTGCAGTGTGGTGAGTGAGTGGATTGGTGAGTGCATTGTAACCTGCAGTATGGTGAGTGGATGGGTGAGTGCATTGTGACCTACAGTGTGGTGAGTGGATGGGTGAGTGCATTGTGACCTGCAGTGTGGTGAGTGAGTGGATGGGTGAGTGAGTTGTGACCTGCAGTGTGGTGAGTGAGTGAGTTGTGACCTGCAGTGTGGTGAGTGGATGGGTGAGTGCGTTGTGACCTGCAGTGTGGCGAGTGGATGGGTGAGTAGATTGTGACCTGCAGTGTGGTGAGTGAGTGGATTGGTGAGTGCATTGTAACCTGCAGTGTGGTGAGTGGATGGGTGAGTAGATTGTGACCTACAGTGTGGTGAGTGAGTGGATGGGTGAGTGCATTGTGACCTGCAGTGTGGTGAGTGAGTGGATTGGTGAGTGCATTGTAACCTGCAGTGTGGTGAGTGGATGGGTGAGTAGATTGTGACCTGCAGTGTGGTGAGTGAGTGGATGGGTTAGTGCATTGTAACCTGCAGTGTGGGCGAGTGGATAGGTGAGTGGATAGGTGAGTGCATTGTAACTTGTGGTGTGGTGAGTGGATGGGTGAGTGCATTGTGACCTGCAGTGTGGCGAGTGAGTGGATGGGTGAGTGTGTGAATGGGTGAGTGTGTTGTGACCTGCAGAGTGGTGAGTGGATGGGTGAATGTGAACGAGTGTGTTGTGACCTGCAGTGTGGGTTGTTGGACAGTTTGGAGACGACAAAACGGTCAGTCCACAAGGGTGGAGAATCAATGACTCAAGTTCACAGGAAGGGTAACCATGGCAGTAGCGACAGCAGAGCTATAAGGAGGCGACGGACTGGAGTGAATTAATGAGTGCTGGATTCATCAGTCAACTTGACTGCAATATGATGAATGCAATCAAGCGCAATGAGGTAGGAAATGTGGCTGCTCCACCCGATATGTCAACAGTATTTTAAACCTTGGCCGAATCTGTGCTTTGTATTGTAGTAGGTGCAATTGTTCGATTGGACTCAATGCCAGGCCCACTTTCTTCCTTTATGAAGAGAGCTGTACGCTCTCACCTGGACTGTCTGTCAAACCAAGCACGGCATTGTGGGATCAACGCTTAAGGGCCACGGAGCAATTGAACAAGATCCCAGCTGGAATGGCCCAGGACCTTTCCTGGGTCGAAAGGTTACGTGCTTTCCAGTGTTGGTGAGAACATCGCACCGAGTTCCCCATTTGTAGATCCTGGGGGGGGGGGGGGTTATCTTCTTCGTTCTGGATTTCAAACGGTTCTAGTTTTGCTCAAGTTACCATTCGTTTATTTTTGTTGTTCTAGACTTTTCCGGTTCTGGTGTGCTGGTTGTTGGCTCTTGTTAAGTTATAGTTTGATCCTAGTTTTTTTTTCCAGGTTTAAGCCAATGCTGTGTGTCTAATCTGGTCCTTTATCCGCTTCGAGTTGTACTTCTGCATCTGATGTATGGTTTTGGTGCTTGGATCTGGTCCTTGGTTTCTGCCTCTGGTATGCATCTAACGCCTGGTTTAGATCGATTGTGGCTCTGTAGTGGATAATAACGAGCTCCATACAGCCTGGTCCGGGTATCACGTTCCTGTGCAGTCTGGCTGTAGTCTAGTCGCCACAGTCTCGTTTATATGTTTGTCCAGATAAAAATTTTACGTGGTGTGGTCCATATCTATATTTTCTGCATTTAGGCTACTCTTAAGTAAATTCCTGTCTATTATAGGCTAGTTTTCATCTCAAATCAGTCTAGTCTTTATCTAAACTATTATTGGTTTGTAGTATGTTGTCAGTTTAGTCTGGTCTGTTTCTAGAACACTCTTATGCTTAAGATTTAGCTTCATCATTTTATATCTAATATTAATCTTAAGTCCTTTTCTCGCTTGTCCAAAATCTGTTCTCTCTCCAGACTTCGAATCATTGACGCAATAATCACATTTTAGTCAAATGTGGCATTTGCACCGTTGTCACGAAAGGCTTTCCCCTTCGACCAAGAAGTCGCAGTTCTGCACAGACTTGATCTGCAGTCGTTGCATAGCAGCAGGGAGATGTTCCATTGGGATTCCAAATCAGGTGATCGATGCCGGCCTACTCATTTCCAATGATGTCATGGGATTCATGAGCACACTGCGAGCAAGGCAGTTGGCGGCGTCTATTTAATGGTCAGTACAGACTGCGGGATTAACCAGGGCGGTCTGCACGGTTAAACGGCAAACGTGGTACCGATAGGCCATGTCATCATCCAAATCTAGTGTCCATCTGGTGTATATTACTCATCTAGGGTCTAGTCTAGACTAGTGTAATATAAATTTAGTCTTATTTCTATCTAGTTGAGTGTCTAATCTATTCTCGATCTAGGCCGATTGAAATGTAGTGTCTGTGTAGTGTAGCCTGTAGTCTAGCTGACTGTTAAACTCAACTAGTTGAGTGATCATGTAATCAAACTAATTATAGTAGTTATAATATTGTGGAATAAAGACACTTATCCAATATTGATCCACTATCATTGTCTAATAAGCTGTCCAGAGTGTCATCGTCTGTCTATTGTCCATCTAGTCTCATCCCAGTTTAGTATTTATGTCTAGTGTTATAGTACAGTCTGTTTAGTATAGCTAATATAATGTAGTGTCTAACTAGTGCAGTGTTACATGCAGTCTCTCTAGTTTACTGCCCATCATCTATCTACTCAAGTTTAAGTGTCCCTAGTTTTATAAAATAAAAAAAATGGTACTCGTGTTTCAACCTAACCGGTTCTCAACAGACTCAAGTGTCACATGTGCCCACGTGACAATCTTAATTTATTTGGCTGTGTCAGGTGATGGCGGGGCTATCGCTCTAATTGACTTCATACTTACACAATCTAACCTGAAACAAAATGAGAAAGATATTGGTCGTGAAAGGGTGTTTGTGTGAAATAAAAATTGTATTGTCTTGTAATCGTTTCTAGTCCCACTTAAAACGTTGCCTTCTCGTAGCCAATACAATCATTCACATTTGTGTTTGTGTTAGGCAACAGTAGTTTCATGCCAAATTCTTGTCGTTTCCAGTCCACTGTTACGTTTGAGTCTGGTGTATGCCAGGCGGTGGTGGCACGCGCCTCGAATCCAGCACACTGTGGGATGCCAGGATTGGTGGATCGCACAAGTCACGTGAAAATCCCTTTCCGTTGGGTGTTGAGGTGTCGTACCCTGGCTCGGCAGGAGAAAGCAGTAACCAGCAAGTGGCCTAATCGACATCTGTTTCCATCTGTACGGGGGATAGAGCATTGCCTCCTCGCGCGCAGCGGGGTGGTTTCTCCGGGCGCTCCAGTCTCCTCCCACGGGTATAAAACCACTCAATTTAACACGTAGGCTTAGATACATGTATCTAGATACAAAACACTCGCACTTATTCGGCTGAAAGAATCTTCAAATTAAAACCAAAATGCAGGATGCTCCTGAAAAAAAACGAGTCCCGTGACTCTGTGACCTTCCTGGATAAACAAGAAATGTAAAATCAATTAAGTGAAGTAAGCGTCTGGTCTTATGTCTATCTGACATAGTGTTATATTGTCTATAGTCTGCATGTAGTCCAGCGTAGCATCTAATTTCATGTGCATTGTCTATCTAGTCTAGTGTCTATCTGATCTGGTCCCTCAATGTACAGGCTGGGTATTTCTTGTCCAGTGTTATATGCAGTTTAAAATAATTATAATGTGCAGACATTTGTCAAATCTGCTTCTGGATAAAGGGCTCTGTGGCACACTTTTTTTTTGGGGGGGGGGGTGTTTGACCACGCTTAGCCACGTTGGTCAGTGAAGTCTTTAATCTAATGCCCACTATGGCAGTGTCTAGTTTATTATCGATCTCCAATACTGTTCATATATTCTTGTGTTTATCCTTTCTTTAGTCTAGTGTCCGTTTATACTATTTTATATATAGCCTTTGTGTTCCTCGTGTCTATATTTCTACAGTTTAGTGTCTACTCCCAGTGCCTACTTTATTGTACATCTGGTGCATTGTGCACCTAATCTTATGTTTAAAAAAAAAAAGACTTGTTATTTTACCAGGTAAGGCCCAATGAGCTGTATAGCTATTTTTTAGACGCGACCTGGCCACAAATGATACCTACACAAAAGTGGTTTATCATGTGGGAATTTATCGCAGCCAAATACTCTTAAGCGCACACCGATTCTAAATGTGGAGGGAAAAACTGGAGGACCCGGAGAAAAATCCACGCGACCACGAGGAGAGAGAGACACCGCAAACTCCAATTATACAGCAGGCGTCAGGGTCTTGGATCGAACCCACAACCTCCTGTATACCAGGCGAGGTAGTTAACATCTCTCAACTGTGGCACTCCCAGCAGAATGTTCATCCTGCTGTCCACCTCATCCAATCCACGTTGTACCTATTTAGCATCTACGCTCGAATTTACGCAAGTATTTAGTCTAATCTTTCCCACTAGTCTGGCCTCCTCTCCAGTGTATTCCCAGTCTACCTTGAGTGTATGAGGGGCAGCGTTTAATCCAGTGTCTTCTAAGTGCATTGCGCCCATATAATCTATTTACCATACCGCCTATCCTAACACGTGGTCTCTCACCCCCAGTGTCCATCTCCTCAAAGACGTACGTCTTTTCTCTCGCGTCTCACCTAACCCAAGTGTTCGTATTTTTTGTTTGTTCACATAGCGTCTTGCTAGTCTAGTGCCTATCGCAGTGGCCGTCCAGCGCACTGCCCACATCGATCATTCACGATATTGTCCACCTCGCGTGCATATCTCCTCCTTTGTACATTTTATCTGGTGCATTATGCAACCTCCTTAAGTATGCTGTACATCCCTCGTGTCTTCGAAGAATATAGCCCATCTAATATACTGCTCTTTCGTTAACCTCGCTTGCAGTACATACACACGCACCTTCCCCCATTGTCCATCATTCCCCGTGTGTCCATCTCTTCGGTGTCCATCTCCAGTGGACGACAGTGTGCATTGCCCATCTCTAACGTATCCACGATTTAATCTACTACTATATTGTCCCCCTCGCTTGGGAATACATTTCGCCAATTGTCCATCTCGAGTAATTTCGAGTGACCTTCTCAACAAGCCTCGGTGTGTCCTTAAATTAGAAAGTCCATCGCCCATTTCGGGTGGACCCACTCTACGACATTGTCCGCCTTGCTTGGGAATGTATCTCGCGTATTGTGTCCATCTCGAGGTAGTTGAGTTACCTCCTCAGCAAGCGTCGGTGTCACCTTTAGTACTGCAGTGTGTGCATATCGCCCATCTCTAATCTACCCACTAATCACGACTCCAAAGTCCACCTTGCTTGGGAATGCATCTCGCCAATTGTCCCATCGCGAGTGATTTCGAATGACATCCTCAACAAACATCCTCAACAAGCCCCGTGTCTTCTCAAGTACTGCAGTGTGTGCATCGCCCATCTCTAATCTACTACACAGTCCACCTTTGCTTGGGAATGTATCTCGCCCATTGTCCATCTCGCGTGATTTCGAGTTATCTCCAGCAAGCCTCGGGCGCCTCCTTAAGGCAAGAAAGTCCACCGCCCACCTCGAGTGGACTCCAACACCACCACCACCCCACTAGTTGTCCACCTTCAATCGCTCCGCACACAAATCGACCGCATTTCTCCTCCCCCCACCATCGGGCCCCTATCGAGAGTGCCTCCTCCTCCTCCCCCCGTCTCTCCTCTCATCTCTCTCTCTCTCTAGGCTCTATCTTCCGTCTCTCGCTCCGCGTGACGAGCGAGAGACGACTACCACGACAACAACAACAACGTTGTTGTTATTATTGTTGTTGCTGCTGTTGTTGTTGTTGTTGTTCATCTCTCTCCTCGTCGCCTACCGCGAAGAAGCCGGAGATAAAAAACATGGCGGCGCGGCCTAGTCGGCAGGCGGCAAAAAAAAACGGCGGCGGCGGCGGGAGACGACACGGGGCAAGCGCCTAGTCACGTCCCTCTGCAACAACCACAACCACCAACAACAACAACCAACAACAACCACCACCACCAACAACAACCACCCACCCACCACGAACCACCAACCGCCACGCTCTCACCTTTAAACTTGAGCTCGTTGGGCGGCTCCAGAAGCAGCACTTGGTCGAACTTGGACATTGTGTGGGGCACACTCGGGCCGGGGGGAGGTCGCGCACTTGTGCAGAAAGCCCTGCCGCTGCTGATGATGCTGCTGCTGCTGCTGATGCTGCTATTGCTGCCGATGACGAACGCTGCTGCTGCTGCTACTGCCTCTCTCTCGTCACCGAGATAGCCGCTCCCGCTGCTGCTGCCGCCACCAGCACCGCCCCGGAGCTCCTGACGCAGCGACCCAGAGTGCACTGCGCGCGCGCTGCCCGCACCCAAACCCCCCCCCCCCCAGCGCGCTTCGTCAACGGCCACGAGCCCCCCCCACCCCCCCACACACAACCCCCCCCCACCTACACACCCCCCCCACACACAACCCCCCCTACCCCACCCCCCCACACAACCCACACAACCCCCCCACCTACACAACCCCCCCCACCTACACAACCCCCCCCCCACACACCCCTCCCACACAACCCCCCCACCTACACAACCCCCCCTACACCCCCCACACACCCCCCCCCCCCACACAACCCCCCCCCACAACCCCCCCACACAACCCCCCCCTACCCCCCCTACCCCCCCCCACACAACCTCCCCCTACACCCCCCACACAACCCCCCCCCTACACCCCCCCCACACAACCCCCCCCACACAACCCCCCCTACCCCCCCCACACTACCCCCCCTACCCCCCTCCCACACAACCCCCCCCGACACCCCCCCACACAACCCCCCCCCCGACACCCCCCCACACAACCCCCCCCTACACCCCCCCCCACCCTAGACACACCCCTCTGACCGACTACCCAACCCTACAAGCCCCTCCCCCCGATTCTCCCCCCCCCCGAAACAACCCCCCCTACCCCCCCCCACACAACCCCCCCCTACACCCCCCCCACACAACCCCCCCCTACACCCCCCACACAACCCCCCCCTACACCCCCCCCCCCACCCTAGACACACCCCTCTCACGGACTACCCAACCCTACAAGCCCCCCCCCCCCGATTCTCCCCCCCCCCCGAAACAACCCCCCTTACCCCCCCCCCACACACACCCCCCCCCCACACAACCCCCCCCCTACACACCCCCCCCCCCACCCTAGACACACCCCTCTCACCGACTCGCCAACCCTACAAGCCCCCCGCCCGAATCCCCCCCCCACCTACACAACCCCCCCTACACCCCCCACACACCCCCCCCCACACAACCCCCCCCCCCCACAACCCCCCCTACCCCCCCTACACACCCCCCCTACCCCCCCCCACACAACCTCCCCCTACACCCCCCACACAACCCCCCCCCTACACCCCCCCCACACAACCCCCCCCCACACAACCCCCCCTACCCCCCCCACACTACCCCCCCCCCCACACAACCCCCCCCGACACCCCCCCACACAACCCCCCCCCGACACCCCCCCACACAACCCCCCCCCTACACCCCCCCCACCCTAGACACACCCCTCTGACCGACTACCCAACCCTACAAGCCCCTCCCCCCGATTCTCCCCCCCCCCCCCGAAACAACCCCCCCTACCCCCCCCCCACACAACCCCCCCCCTACACCCCCCCCACACAACCCCCCCCTACACCCCCCACACAACCCCCCCCTACACCCCCCCCCCACCCTAGACACACCCCTCTCACCGACTACCCAACCCTACAAGCCCCCCCCCCCCGATTCTCCCCCCCCCCCCGAAACAACCCCCCTTACCCCCCCCCACACCCCTCCCCCACACAACCCCCCCCTACACCCCCCCCCACCCTAGACACACCCCTCTCACCGACTCGCCAACCCTACAAGCCCCCCGCCCGAATCCCCCCCCCCACCCTCCAGTTCACAGTCGCGAAGCGCCGGCGCTCATTGGTCCACGCGTCCTGCGTGGGCGGTGCCACTACTGAAAACGGGGGTGGGACGCGGTTTGGGGGGGGGGCGGGGTTATTATGGCTGATATTCTTAGGTTTTCTCGGTAAAGTCACGTAGGTAAAAAAATAAAATTAATAAAAGTAAAATATTAATTAAAATTTATAAAAGTAAAATATAAATTTTTTACCTACGTGACTTTACCGAAAAAACCTAAGAATATGAATCCTTGCAGTCACGAAAGCTTCAAATCTAGAATTATTATGGCTGGCCACGCGCACTTTTGACGGTTTGTTTTGTGAGCCCCGCCCTCTCGCCACCCCCTCCCAACCCCTCTCTCGCCTCCCCTCCCACCCAAAGGGTGGGTCATAGCGCGCTGCTGATTGGTCAACGGGTCCTGCGTAGGCGTGGTCTCAACGTGAAGGGGGCGTGGCCTCGTTGAGAGTGAGTCCGCCCCCCTGCTTCCCTACTCATCGAACAGCTCAAAGAACATTCTTAGGTTTTTTTCGGTAAAGTCACGTAGGTAAAAAATTAAAATTAATAAAAGTAAAAGTAAAATAAATATATATTTTTATTTTACTTTTATTAATTTTAATTTTTTACTTACGTGACGTTACCGAAAAAAACCTAAGAATATGAAATACTTGCAGTCATGAAAGCTTCAAATCTAGAGCTAAAAGAACCCCACCCCCGGGCTTAGGACGGGACATAACCCTCGAGCGCGGCACTAATTGGTCCACGCGTCCTGCGTGAACGGGGCCTCAATAAAAGGGGGGCGTCATTATAACGAGTCCACGCCCATTCAGCTGCCCCCTCTCCTCCAACATCTTATGGCGGGGACATACCACACACGATTCTAGATTTGAAGCTTTCGTGACTGCAAAAGTAAATAAAATAAAATAAAATTTTTATTTTATAATAAAATAAAATTTTTATTTTACTTTGATTAATTTTAATTTTTTACCTACGTGACTTTACCGAAAAAAACTAAGAATATGAACCACGCACGATGATTGGCCGGTATATCCTGCGTGGGCGGAGTTCGCTCCGCCCCTCTCCCCCACCCCTCCCCCAAAGGGCGGGACCCGGAAGCACGTGTCTTTGCAGCTGAGCGAATTTTGATGAGATTTGCAAAAAGGCACATGCTCAGAAACGTCTCCAATTCCATTTTTTGATTGTTGTTACTTTTAAGGTCACAGTGTTGTTGACGAATGCGTTCAGCTTTTGCTGTTTGTCTTTTTTGCGCCACAGCCAACGCAAAATCGCATTTTCGCGTCCCGAATTCACGCGCGTGTGAAATCTTGTTCATTATCAGCCATTTATCAATCCACTGCTGGATGAAGGCCTTCCCCCCGAGCCGTCGCAAACCTCTCACGGCTCCGCGATGGATCGAGCCACTTAAACACGAGCTGTTCCTTCTGGGGCGCGCATCCTCTCCGATGCGTTTCATTTCTTAGCGATCACTCCCGCCACTACTAGCTATTGACCATCGGCCATCAACGCTTTCGGGGCGACGTGACCTGCCCAAGGCTGATTCACCTGCGTAGGTTTCCTTTAGTCATCCACAATACAGGGGGGGGGGGGGGGGTTAGATCACATAAATGTGTGTCGTTAAAACCCGCCACCACCCGACACAGCCAACTAGTAAGGGTTGTCACGTAAACAACGTGGCCAATTCGTCACTAGTACAGCACTAGTGTGTAGTGTAGTATAGTAGTACAGCACTAGCCGGTGTGTCGGAGAGGCAAGCCACAACATTTACAATCTGAGTAACGACGTTTCGCCAGTAATTACAGCTTGCTTCATCAGGTGGGTGGTGGCGGGTTTTACCAACACATTTATATATTTACGCACTCAGTCACATATTCACTTTAAGATGTTTTTGTTCATGTTTTTGTTTTTTGTTTGTTGCGGTTGCACCCGATTCAAAAGCCGAATGGCTCACAGGGCTTTACCTAATAAATGAACTTGAACTTTAACCTGTCTTATGGATGATATTCGTCGCGAAAACCAACTACGTGTTCAACTTCCTTTATCCGTGTTTCCACTTGCCGGCTCAAACCTCCATTAAGAGGGCGCTGTCAACACGCTGAGCGAAATCAGGCCACTGATACGAGACCATATATCTTGATTTGAAGTTTCATGACTGCAGGAATCCAAACTCTTTGGTTCTTTCGGTAAAGTCATCAGGCGTGATGCCGACGACCGCTTGTGTTGCGATCGAAACGTCGTGATTTGTTTTATTTTATTTCTAACTACGTGACTTTACCGAAAGAACCAAATAAAAAAATATATGGAGCATATATTTTAGAGTCTTAGACCACCAAGTCAGACAGGTAGAGAGTTGTGTATATGTTAAATACTAGACAATAGCTATGCACTAGATCTTCTGCACGGGCACTTTAGATTATACTGTGTTTAAAATAAAACATTGCATCATATATTTAAGCATACACTACACGATACAAATAATGCACAAGACTTGCTAATTATATAAACATAATCTAGATTACATAGCTGTCAACCCATACGGGTTACCCGTATTCTTGTGCAGGGAAATTGAGTTGTCAGGTCCATACGGCGTACAGCCGTTTAAATCCGGGCAACAACTTTGTTTTGTCTATTTGTGTTTCACCTTGTCTTGGGACATTGTAGGATGAACGTTGAGATTTATAAGGATGACCAATCAAGCCTGATTTGATCTGTAATAAGGTAGGGCACTGATAAGGGGTTGACAGGTATGAGATGGAGGCAACGATAGATACGACAATACGTATTCACTCGACATGATATACAACAAAGAATATGAATAATATATAACAACTACAGTAGTTTAACACGTAGCAGGCTGTCGCAACCAATATTATTCATAATCAACGTTTTTGGGTTTAGATCGCGTTATTTATAAATGTGTCGTAACCCTCCACCACCCGACACGGCCAATCAGTAAAAAAGTGTCACGTTGACAAAAGACAATTAGTTCACTGCTTTAGCCCACCGATTCTGGCGAATTGCCCGATGATGCTGGATGCAATTACCAGCGAAACGTCGTACTACTCAAATTGTAAATTGTTGTGGTTTCACGCTTCAACACACCGGTGGGCTAAAGCAGTGAACTATTTGTCTTTTGTCAACGTGACACTTTTTTACTGATTGGCCGTGTCGGGTGGTGGCGGGTTACGACACATTTATAAATAACGCGATCTAAACCCAAAAACGTTGATTATGAACAACTACAGTAGCTAGAACACAAGACACAATGTCTATATGGGGGATGAAACTGTCGATGGTCAATAACAGTGACGAGGGCGGCAGTGAAGGGGCGGAGATGGAGCAATGAAATCGTCCCGCGCGCAGGTGTGCCAGGTGGATTATGGTCACGTG